TGAAGGCTAGGACTATAATAGAGTTTAAAGAGAAGCTAGATAATTTCATGGAGGTTAGGTCCATAAAAGGCTATTAGCCAGGGGATAAAATGGTGTCTTTGGCCTCTGTCTGTCAGAGGCTGGAGAGAGATGGCAGGAGACAAATTGCTTGATCGTTGTCTTCGGTCCACCCTCTCTGGGGCACCTGGTGCTGGCCACTGTCGGCAGACAGGATACTGGGCTAGATGGACCTTTGGTCTGACCCAGTACGGCCGTTCTTATGTTCTTATGTTCCTATGTTATGTAGGATGGAGTGCACAGGGGCCTTTTTTCGAAAAAACTTCCCCTGCGTCTAGACTGCTGCCGCGTTCTTTCAAAAGTAAATTGAAAGAACGTGGCAGTTTTTTCAGCTGTGGAAAACCTCATTTTATGAGGAAGAACGCCTTTTTTCAAAAATACTCTTTTGAAAAAAGGAACAAAAAACAGGACTATGTAGCACTTTAAAGACTAACAAGATGGTTTATTAGGTGATGAGCTTTCATGGGACAGACCCACTTCTTCAGATCATATTCTGAAAGTGAATTGTCATGACCAGTATTTGGCCATTACTCAAAAAATTAGGAGTTACGTTAATTTGAACCAAGGGGTTTGATTCAAACTAACATGTCCCGGAGCGCACTTCCTGGCTCAAATCAGCTGTTGAGTGGAATAGCGCGCGGGTGAGATTATGCTAATGAAGTGCGGGATATTTAAATCCCCGCTTCATTAGCAATTTCAGTCTCCTATATTTGCATCCCTAGCTTGAACTAGGGAGCAAGTGTAGATGTACCCTGGCTGGTGGAAGTTTAGACGTAGCAGTGTCTTGTGTTGAGCTAATTCTGTATCTGGATTAAAATTTCAGTCCCATTGATGTAACTTGCCCCCGCTATCAATTTAATAACTCACTTTCCTGAGGGGTTTAGAGTCAAGATTAATGTATTTCGGTCAATGCAGTTGTGACAGGTAGGGTCGCAGAGATCCCCTTCAGACTGTCACTTGATGGGCTGATCACACCCCTGATCCCGGAGATGAAGGGGGCAGGGATTCAGAGACCAAAGAGGTAATAGAGGTGCCACCAACCCTGTACAGTCCCATCTGGACAGCAGCCAAACCAGCCATGGGTCAGAATTGTTTTACCTCAAACAGTTCATAGCTTGTGTGTGCCAGGCTCAGAAGCTCAGCAGCTTCACTCAGCACACAACACTGATTTCAAACCTGGGTTGAAACCTCAATTCAATATGGGCAGGAGACATTTCCTCATGGTGTTTGCCTCACTCACTTTCCAGTCCTCAAGCCCCAACTCCAGGGCTGTGTCTAGACTACATGCCTCTGTCGGCAGAGGCATATAGATTAGCCAGATTGGCAGAGGGAAATGAAGCCGCGATTTAAATAATCGTGGCTTCATTTAAATTTAAATGGCTGCCCCGCTCTGCCGATCAGCTGTTTGTCGGCAGAGCGGGGGGCTCAGCGCGCTAGTCTGGACGCTCCCGCGCCGACCTGAAAGCCCTTTATTGACCTCCCCGTTATGCCTCATAGGATGAGGTTTACTGGGGAGGTCGATAAAGGGCTTTCATGTTGACAGGGGAGCGTCCAGACCGCCCTGATCTGCCGACAAACAGCTGATCGGCCGAGCGGGGCAGCCATTTAAATTTAAATGAAGCCGCGATTATTTAAATCGCAGCTTCATTTCCCTCTGCTGATCTGTCTAATCTACACGCCTCTGCTGACAGAGGCATGTAGTCTAGACACAGCCCTGGAGTCAAGCAATTAAAAATGGAAGGGGAGAGCCTCTTTTCAATAAAGTAAATGGCTGGCCTTCGTGGAGGAAGAGAAAAGCCTGGAAACGGGAGCTTTGTGTGCCCCTAAACCTTGACATCTCCAAGGCAAATAACAAGAAAACCTCCCCAAGTTTAAGACTTTCGATTTTTAAGCTTAAAATCGCAATTTTGTTAAGGCCTGACTTGTGCAATCTAGGTGCTTAGGGCTGGCGGCCCCCGTCTCCACAGCCCCATTCAGCCAGGCTGCCATCAAAGTGGCATGTAACCACGTTTGCTTAGGATTCTGCAGTCTGCCCCACAGTTGTTGTCGGACATAGGGGCACCCGTTTAATAGTACTGCGTAGGGCGTCATAAACCCTCAGGGCGGCCCTGCCTCTCCCTCTCCCCTGCTCCCAGCAATCACCCTATTTGAAATAGTATTTGAGGGTTGATTTGCTTTCCCAGGACCACTCTGTCCCTGTCATGCTGCATGCCTGTGTTAATGCTGGTGCATTCTGGGAAAATCTGAGCCATGCCTTTACCGTGGCTGGCTTTTCCTTCAGCACGACCTCCTGTGCGGAGGAGACAGCAGTGGATCCGTGTTAGTGCCACTATCCTGGTTAGGAATTCTGTGCTAACCCCACATGCCATGACAGAACTGAAATGGCAAGGCCTTGAAACCTGCGCTTCTTGCACAAACGCCGTGTGATGCCTGCAACAAACGTGGCGGTGCCTAGACAGCTAGTGGGCTGTGACAGCTGCTGATCCTGCTGACTGTCTCTTTGTTACCTGGTACTTTCCCCAGCTATTTGTTGTATCCGCCTGATCTCACCTCCCTTGCGTAGGTTATAACTGTCTCATCAGGGCGGGGCCATCTCTTTGATCTATGTTTGTACAGCACCTAGCAACACAGCTTCCTGCTCACAACTGGGGCTTCTAGAGGTTATCCAATATGGCAGTAAAAACTCTGAGTCTGGCATGCAGTTAAAGCATTGGCTGTGGCTGGATTCCTTGTGCCTGCATTTAATCCTTGTTCTTCCCCCTGCGGATCCCTGTCTAGCCAGGAGCCTGAGCAGTTCTGCACAATTCAGCCTTTC